AAAAAAAAAAAAAACATGGTTGGAATTATGTTGATCAAACACTGAAATAGATTATTTAACATGATTATCCATGCACTCAAACATCATGCATTTATTAAACTGTCTTTGCATCTAAATAAACGATAAATACATTGAAAACAAAAAACAGGAGGAGGTTGGCAATGTTTTTGACCACAAAGGTAGTCTCACAGGAAGAACCACTGGTCCCTGCTGACCTGCAGCCTCTCCATTGTGAGGTGGAGGTTTGGACAAGGACAAAAAGAGGTGCAGTTGGCTACGGGCTAGCATATCTCCAGAGACGAGTACAGAAGCTACTGAAAGAGAGCCGAAGCTAAAAATCAAATTACATCTCAAGCACACACTGCCAAAAGTGGAACAGGTAGTAGATGCTGGGGGATCTGGAGACAAAGGAAGCTGCAGCTGTTCATGATCCTTTCACATCATGACTTTAAGCTCCTCTTTATAAATCTTACTGATGAAAGTCTGGCTCAAGACGACCTAAACAGCGAATAAGTTTTGGCTATAAATGAAAGGGCTGTGCTCGTTTTATAACACAAGACAGAACAGACCAGAAGAGCTTTGTAGCAAAGATAAAAGCAACAAGTCATTGCTGTATCTCATTATCTTCTTAACTGTTAAAAGCCAAAAACCTAACTGAAACTAAAATGAGTCACTCAGATGTGGTTTTCATCGTATCTCATCGCTGTTTGGCTGGAACAGAGAAAAACTGGTTAAAATGTTGAGGATAGCCCTAAGTTTTTTTTAGTTTAACAAGCTCTTTAAAGTGGAGAACAGTTATAGCAGATGGGTGGAGCTTCTGAGATAACCATTAGGGACAATTTCCCCCCTAAATGACAACATACACGGATGAGGCATAACCTAATGACCTTTTTCTTTTGCTGCCAAAACAGCCCTGACCCATCAAGACTTGAACCCCTGTGCTGTGGTTATCAGAGAGATCTGGGAAATTGGAGGCAAAATCAACACCTCAAACTCGTTGCTCTGCTCCTCAGGCAGGCAGCGCACATTATCCTGCTGAACCATTTACTGTTTCCGTGAAAGGGTCTACATGGTCTGCAGCAGTGCTTAGGTAGGTGGGACGTAACAAAGTAGCATCCACATGAAGGTCAAGACCTAAGGATTCCCAGCAGAACATTGCCCAAAGCATTACACTTCCTCCAGAGGCTTAACTTTGTCCCATAGTCCATAGTGTGTGATTCATCAGGCCAAGGCACCTTCTTTCATTGCTCTGTGGTCCAGGTCTGATGCTCTCATGTGCATTGTTGATGCTTTTGGTGGTGGACAGGGGTCACCAAGGGCATCCTGACTGGTCTGCAGCCCAATGTGCAACAAACTGTGATGAACTGTTTATCCTGATATCTTTCTGTCAGAACCAGAACAAACTTTTTCTGCAGGATAGGTTACAGTAGCATCTGTTGGATCAGAAAACACAAGTCAGCCTTCGCTCCCCATGTGCATCAGTGAGTCTTGGCTGCCCATGACCCTATAACTGTTTCGCCACTGCAGACCAGGAACACCCAACAAGAGCTGCTCTGATGCAGTCGGCTACCCGGCACAGTTTGTCAAACTCACCCAAGTTTTTACACTTTTCCATTTTTCCTGCTTCTAACAGATGAATTGTGAGGACAAAATGTGCACTTTATCCTGAATATAGTCTACCCACTAACAGGTGCCATGATGAAGAGATAATAAGTGTTATTCATTGTATCTGTCCACCAGACAATGGTGGTCCCCATCTTTAAGAAGGGGGACC